GACTTATGCTGCTTTCATCAGAAGAGGCAAAGTGGTCACAAATAGCCATTCCACCGCACTTTCTCGAGGCCCTTGGAACCTATCAAGGAAGATGATTATTTGGTCAGACAAAAAGGTACAGAATTAGTGAGTGAAATGTGTCAAAAGTTGATTGACTCCAAAGTGGTTTCTCACTTACACTTCTATACAATGAACTTGGAACGTGCGACAATCATGATTCTCGAAAACTTGAACCTCATTGAACCAGTCAAGGACCATGAAATCATCGGTGGTGTGGATCTTCCTTGGAGAAAATCGTTACATCCTTCGCGGTCAAAGGAATCTATTCGTCCCATCTTTTGGCAAAATAGAAAATACTCCTACATTTCCAGAACATCTACTTGGGATGAGTTCCCTAACGGAAGATGGGGTGATTCCCGGTCGCCTGCCTTTGGTGATATCGATCTTTTTGCTGCCGATTTATTGCGCCAGTCTCCTAAGAGGGCTTTTGATTTATGGGGATGTCCTCAATCGTTCAAAGACTTGTCAAACCTTGTCGTATCTTACTTGAAGAATGATTTGAAGTCTTTACCTTGGTCTGATGGTCCTATAGGTGAAGATACAGCTATCATTGTCGACAAATTGATATCATTGAACCAAAGAGGCTTTCTCACCATGAACTCCCAGCCCTCTTTGAACTGTGTCAAGTCCAATGACAAAGTTTATGGGTGGGGCCCAAAGAACGGGTACGTGTTTCAAAAGCAATACCTCGAGTTTTTCTGCCACAGAGATATCTTCCCAAAACTTTTAGAGTCAATTGAGAAATTCAATGAGAAGGGAGGTGAGAGTTGCAGTTTCTTAACTTACTATGCAGCAGACAAGAACGGTGAGCTCAATACAAATACGAAGGAAGATGATATCAACGCCGTTACTTGGGGTGTCTTCCCAGGAGAGGAAATTTTGCAACCTACAATTGTCGAAAAAACTTCCTTCTTTGCATGGAAAGATGAGGTCTACCGTCTTCTCGCTGAATGGGGTAGCGTCTATGATAGTCACATCACCAGCGACGAAACATTAAAGAAATCCCAAGTCAAGGAATTCACCCACACTTTGAATGAGTTTGCAGACCAGTTTATCCTTTGCAATATTGTGAATAACAACTTTGTCGATGACGACCTGGTTCTCTTTTCTATCTTTGATGATATACAATCATCTGAGTTTTAAAAGAGCCGTCTTTGTTTGATTTACGTTCACGGGATAAAAGCATCATGCTGCTTGGCTTGTACTCGACAGCATCAAAAATGTCATATGCTCTCTGGCATAGAGACTAAAAGTTCTTCTTTATTTCAACATACTATTATTACTAGCTTTCCTGTGCATACTAACTCCTCAACGGAGTTGAATAAATATCTTATATTAAAGGTGATCATCGATGTAAAACAAGCACTACATGATTAATTTTTAATTTTGTATATTCTATAAGGTAAAAGTTTATAAATTCCGTAGATAAAAGGTATCAATAAAAAGTGAAAATTAAACAGCAAGTGCCAAAACTTGTTTAAACCGGACTAAAACCGGAATCCACCGAAAAAAATATGTCTATCAATTGTTAATCTTAGAAGAAAATGAAAACCAAAAGTGCAGCAATGCAGTATAATCCCGAGTGGGGAACAACACTACTGGCAAAGCCCTCATACAGATTAATTGGAGAAGTGGAGTTGCTGATCCAGCTGCTGGATGGTGCAGCTGAAGTAACGGTAGCTACCTCAGTTTCAATAAGTACTGAGGTCTCTTCTTCTCTCTTCCTGCCCCATTGACCTACATTGTTCGTTTTACCACCACCAGTGGTAGTACATGGAGTAGTAGAGTCTGGAGCAGCTGTGGATGAGGTGGGTGTCTCACAAGGTGTGCTAGTTTGAGCAGTAGGTTTCACTGAACTAGTTGGTTCCGTTGTGTCGCAAGGTGTGCTACTTTCAGCTGTTGGTTCCACTGAACTAGTTGGTGCCACTGAACTTGCTGGCTCCGTAGTGTCGCATGGCGTGCTGGTCGATCCAGTTGGAGCGGTCGGATAAGGAGGTTCAGACGAGTGAGTTGGTGCCACTGAACTAGTTGGTTCTGTTGTATCACAAGGGGTGCTAGTTTCACTTGCTGGAGCAGTGGAAGAAGCAGGTTCAGACGAGGAAGTGGGTCTCACCGAACTAGTTGGTTCCGTAGTGTCGCATGGCGTGCTCGTTTCGCTTGGTCCAGTTGGGACGGTCGGGTAAGGAGGTTCAGATGAGTGAGTTGGTGCCACGGAACTAGTTGGCTCCGTAGTGTCGCATGGCGTGCTCGTTTCGCTTGGTCCAGTTGGTCCAGTTGGTCCAGTAGGCGAGCTAGATGATCCGACCCATGGGCTTGTAGGAGGCACGGTGGAATGACTAGACTCTGCAATAGACGACTCAGTTGTCAGATCACATGGTTCACTGGTTTGACTGGTTGGACCGGTAGATGGACCGCTTGGGGTGACAACTGAGGGTCCCGTAGATGGTCCACTTGAAGGTCCGACAGATGGAACTGTAGAGTGACTCAGTTGTGCAATCGAACTACTGGACGGTATGGCGGATGGAACACTCCAGGAACTCGTAGGCACCGTCGATGATCCAGCAGACACTGAAGACTCTGTAGTCAGGTCACAAGGCTCAGTAGCAGGGCTCGATGGAACAGTAGGTGGAATTGAGTGGCTTGAAATATCACTTGAGTGACTCACTGGTGCAATTGAAGAACTAGAAGGTCCCCAAGATGAGACAGATGGGTGACTCGAAGGTTCAGTAGGTGGAATTGAGTGACTCGATGGCGCAACCGAGGAGCCCCAGGAGCTGGAAGGTCCAGTTGACAAGACAGATGAGTGACTCACTGGTGCAGTTGAGGAGCTCGAAGGTCCAGCAGAAGAGCTGGATACCTTAACAGACGAAGAAGTCTCATCGCATGGCTCAGTAGTATGGCTCGAAGGTCCAGTGGGTGGAATTGAGTGACTTGATGGTCCCACAGACGAAACAGTTGAGTGACTCGAAGGTGCAACCGAGGAGACACTCGAGTGACTAGAAGGTCCCACAGACGAAGCTGTCGAGTGACTTGAAGGTCCAGAAGGAATTGAGTGACTAGATGGAGCAACCGAGGAGGCACTCGAGTGACTAGAAGGTCCCACAGACGAAGCTGTCGAGTGACTTGAAGGTCCAGAAGGAATCGAGTGACTAGAAGGTGCAACCGAGGAGGCACTCGAGTGACCTGAAGGTCCCACAGACGAAGCTGTCGAGTGACTTGAAGGTCCAGAAGGAATCGAGTGACTAGAAGGTCCAACGGATGAAGCACTCGAGTGGCTCACTGGTGCAGTTGAGGAGCTCGAGGGTGCAGAAGAAGAGCCAGATACCTTTACAGACGAAGAAGTCTCATCGCATGGTTCAGTAGTATGGCTCGAAGGTCCAGTAGGTGGAATTGAGTGGCTCGAAAGACCACTTGAGTGACTCACTGGTGCAATTGAAGAACTAGAAGGTCCCACAGACGAAGCTGTCGAGTGACTTGAAGGTCCAGAAGGAATCGAGTGACTAGAAGGTCCCACAGACGAAGCTGTCGAGTGACTCGAAGGTCCAGAAGGAATCGAGTGACTAGATGGTGCAACCGAGGAGCTCGAGTGTGCAACAGAAGAACTGGATGCCTTTGCAGAC